TCATGATTGTACATGCTAATGTATTTTAACAGTGTCAGCAGATTTATCTTCAAGGGTTATTACCATAACATTTATGATTGTACATGCTAATGTCTTTTAACAGTGTCAGCAGATTTATCTTCAAGGGTAGTTGTCATAACATTCATGATTGTACATGCTAATGTCTTTTAACAGTGTCAGCAGATTTATCTTCAAGGGTTATTACCATAACATTTATGATTGTACATGCTAATGTCTTTTAACAGTGTCAAAAGATTTATCTTCAAGGGTAGTTATCATAACATTCATGATTGTACATGCTAATGTCTTTTAACAGTGTCAGCACATTTCTCTTCAACAGTTGTTACCATAACATTCAGGGGTAGGAACAGCATCATAATCTTTTAGTTAGGGCTTTTTCTCCCAGAATTTCCCCCCAAACCTACGTGATTTATAATGCTTGGAGATGGCTTGAATGGGTAACGAAGAAAACTTTAATATAAGTTTAACATAACAGCAAATGTACAACGTTTCAACAAGATTTTGTCATCATCAGGTGCAAGTAGTTACACTGACACAGAAATATATATACAGTATGGAACAATATATATATACATACAGTATGTGATTTCTTCTTAGCTACATGGGCTAAAAGTATTCTTACCTTTTCATTCTGCAATGTTACATGCCCTTTATACTGTGAGTATATAACATTTTCTAGTAATTGGACATGTTGATCAGGAACTTTGGTCCAAAGATATCTAGTTTGTTTGTTTTTGAATTTCACGCAAAGCTACACGAGGACTATCCGCGCTAACCGTCCCTAATTTAGCAGTGTAAGACTAGAGGGTAAGCAGCTAGTCATCACCACCCACCGCCAACTCTTTTACCAATGAATAGTGGGATTGACCGTCACATTATAATGCCCTCACAACTGAAAGGGTGAGCATGTTTGGTGGGACGGGGATTCGAACCAGCGACCCACAGATTGCAAGTCGAGTGCCCGAACCACCTGGCCAGATATCTAGTAACTGAAAAAATCTGTGCTACAAATATTTGTAGCTGTGCATATAAAAATATAATTACTTTTTCACTGAATATTTTTGCAAGTGACTCCTGTGTTATTCTATATCTAGGGCCTCATTCAATAAATTTTGGTTTGGAGTCAGGTGTTACCTTTACTCTTCATACAGAATTCTCTAAACTGTAAAATTCAGAAGTTAATATCATGTGGATGACATGGAAAATTATTTTTTGACCCTGTAGTTCCTTGAGCTATATTGTGCTCTATTTAATTTATATTCAACATACTCTGGAATATGATAGAGAGCGAGTACCATTTCATCTATAGATAGTACTTTCCATTCATTGCTTTCCTAAAGCATTTTGTGGAAACTTCTGGAATACTGTTAACTGTATCCTTTTGAAAGCAGCAAACTGCCAGAAGTAAAATTGTGCCATACCCTCATCAATTCCTCCTTTAGGTTTCCATAAAAATAATCACAAAAGGATGTTGATCATCTTTGAGATGCTTGTACAGCTGGAGGAAATCCTGTTTTGATGATGCACATTAAAGGTGGTCAACATTATCTTTTATTACATTTACATCAACTGATTTCCCTACACATTTATTAGCCCATACTTCATCTTTTAAAATGTGTCTCCCACAAAGTGCAAGTGTCACTTGACGTCACATTATATTAATTTCCAGCTTCACAATGCCATTTTCTCTGTTTCAAGCAAAAGGAATTTTCCTGCATTTAGTATATTCATGGTTCTTGAAAACTGCATGTACAAAAATGTTGTGGCACATTGAAAAAATTTGTTCATGGGTAACATACATCATAGAAATTTGAAAATTTCATCATATGTACTAGTAATCTGTTTCCTTAACGTTACATAGTAAAATACATTCTGAGCCTGTTTAAGGGTACTCAGCCAATCAACTGCAATTGAAGGCAGCATCTTCGTTACCATGTGCGAGTGCTAGCTGCTACCTGCATTTTTCTGTAAAATGTACCTGTACCTTTACCATAAATCTGCTATTGCAACAGTCTCAGGGAGGACAGTGCATTTTAATGACTTTGAATTTACAATTTCCGGTGGATTTTGAACAAACAGAAGTGCACTTGATTCATCATATAATCAATATACCATACGTCAAAATCCAGGCAATGTTGCTTTCTGTGATAGTATTTCTACAACACCCCATAATGACCCGTCTTGGCTTTACTGATACTTTTCAAGGTACATTTGGGGTATAATAGTATTATTTTGAATCTTAACAGCTATGATTTATTTGTAAGTTTGTTTTATTATTGTTAGTATTGTCCTGCTTGTTGTATTTATTTTGGTTCGATTTTCATGTGGAAATATATATATCTAAATCTGATTTCAGTAATACCACACTGAACCTAACCAAATTAATTCAAGAATATTAATTTCAGTCACTTGCAAGCCATCTGTCAATTTTTTTGTCTTAGAATTTTGAGCAAAGCTACATAAGGGCTTTTTGCATCAAGCATTCCATAATTTTGAACTAAGAGACTAGAGGAATGGCTGTTAGTCGAGAGCACCCACTGCTAACCTAATACTATCACTCTCATAGTGTACCAAAGGCACCTACGTAAAGAGCATATTTGCAAGCTTCTGCAGTAGAGGACTCATGGTCTTAACACACTAACCAACACCCAACTACGACCGAATACAAAAGTACAGCTTTTATAATTTAAACGAACAAAGACATAAATGACAACATTTCATTATTTTGATTTATACTCCAACTCAGAGTTTTAGTTGCCAGTCAGGTTGAATCTGATGCTTAACATTAGCTCTGAGCAAAGAGGATTTGATTCTAGTAGCTTTTATCCTAAATTAGACTGACTTATTTATTAATTTTGTCTGATAATTCATACTTGGCTTTCAGTGATTTATAGAGGAAAGAAATTTTGTTGCTCATGTTTTAGCATTATTAAAACCATAACCAGTGAGAATGAAATAAATCTAGGTAATATGTACAATAGATCAAAGCACAATAAATATAACCTATTCAGGGATTCCGGGAATAGTTCAGGTCTGTATTCCCCAAAATCAATGACATAGCTTTTCTCTGTTCCTATTTTATCATTATTTGCTAAATATTTTTTAAGTCCAAGGTTTTTTTGCTAAATTTTAGTGTAAGGGTATTCTTGCCTAAAGATAAAAGTTTACCTAGTTTTTGGATCTCATTTCAGTTAAACTTAGCATATTTGATACTTTGTTTGAGACTTTTTCAATATTACATGATTATTTTGTTAATGATTTATTTTTATTTAGTTCATTTTGGTCAGTATTTCAGTAAACAATGTGTTTATGATCAGTTTAATAGTTAAGATTCAACCATAATCTGTTTTTGTTTTTCCCTTTTTTAACATATGTCTCTCTGTTCAGGAATTTTGTTGCTTTTCTTCATTTAATACATATTTTTCTTAAACAAGTTTTACACATTGTAAGTCCTCAGTAGGTTTTTTGCCTACTCCTCCTTCAAAGTTGTACCAAAAATTTAATTCTCTAAAATGAATGAATGAAATAGTGTTGAATGGAAGATGTCATTGTATAATCTAACCACCTAATAGTTAAACATTACTTTCAGTAATAATGAACAACTAACTTTCACTTATAATGGAAATATATAAACCGATTTATTACCTCTGATTAAACAACTTCAGTTATTAATAGTTATTGATCACACATTAATAAATACTGTGTAGTTATTGTTTTAAAAAAGAAAAGCACTATTTTTCACGATAAATCAGGATTCAGTTCCATAAACACTATTCATACTATCTGTAAATAATGATTAAACTTCCACTAGTTTAACAAAAATATGTTTCCTATACTATTCAGCATAAAAGAACATGAAGTACAATAAATTGGAAAACAAGACCCACTTTCAAAAACAGATGTCATCTTTTAACAAAGCTTAAGCATTTTAAGATATCCCAGTTCCAATACATCATGCACTAATATTATTAATTGTTGTTCTAGTATGAAAGTCAGAAAGATTTAGTTGAATGTACAATTGGTAACAAGTTAATAAAATGAAATAAAATAATAAAGTAACATATAAATTAGAAGAGTAGCTTCTCATAATTTATAACATTTTAAAATGCTACTGGGTTTGTTAGTTGTATTGTATTCAAACTTATCACATTTTTAATTTGTACACACTATACATCATTTCCTATAAAATAATAGGTTAGTTCAACATCACTTACCACTAAATGTTGAAAAATAACACTTGCTGTATATCATACCTTTAGTGAAAATAAGAAACTACTACATTTATTTTTCAGTCATAAAAGATAATTATAAAATTTAGTCATTTTCTTTTGAAATATGTGCCTGAAGTTCAAAACAATATTAACAATTAACTTCCCCACTTTATATTGGTTATTTTTTAATTGTATCTATCAACAACAAATAAAAAGCCATCTTCAAATGTCATTTCTTCTTAAATAAAAAAAATGCCTTTACAACGAGTCCAAATTTGATCAAAACTAAGACTACTCCATTTTTATTTTGTTTTACTTTGCAACCAATGTTTCCTACATAAAATAAAATTACAAAATTAAGCTTCCTTATTATTTGACAAAAAAAAATATAATTTTCTTAGACATCAACACTTTCTTTATGCCTTATAATAAGTTTTTTAAACCAATTTATATCATAACTTGTTTAAAAAATGTGGTAGCCATTTCATAAACTTTTGTTTCATATTTCAGGCAACAATATAGAACTTTCACTGTACAAATAAAATATTTTCAAAACTGCTTAGTATAAATCAGCTCCTACATCCCAAATAATGACATTTACGGAAAGGTATAATGTGCTGCCCTTGTTTACAGAAATCATTCTTTACATACCAACAGCAAATAAATTCCCCTTAAAATAAAATATAAAAAATAAACAGAAAATATCAGTAATTTTACAACACATTATTATAACTACAAGTTATTCAAACAATATACCATTAAAACAATTTATCTAACACACTTATAAAGCAAAATATTTGTTTCACAAATTTGAATAGACACAAGTACATTAGCATTAGAAATACAAGTTTCTGCACCAAAGAATACACAAGTGTATAGAACAATCACAGATTAAAAACTACTTGAGTGCTTCTTAGAATAGTACAAGTTAGATTGGTTAAATATATCAACCAATATCATAGCATGTGGAAATTTACTACTGTGAGCTTGATTACCACAGAAACCTTAACACATCTAATGTTATGTGTGAATGTCAATTTTAGTTCTAACTGAAACTGAACATTGTATTTCTTACATGAACACACACGCATATATATATCAACAAAAAAACAATTTGAAAGTCAGAGATCAACCAATCAAAGTTAAGGAATTTTCTAGCTTAAAAAAAAAGCAACAAAAACAATTAGTATGAGCTGTAGCTGTACAGATGAAAACCAGTTATTTCAATACACACAAATTATTGGTCCTCTTCAATACTTAATATAAAATATTTGAAAACTATTAGTCATTTAAATCTCATTTCAGGATAATGGGTGTCTATAAAATTTAAATGTATTTTCAAATTTAGCCTTAAAGATTTAGTCAATTAACAGAAAATGTTTAGCCTATCTAATCATGATTTATTTGTATCACTATTTTTTCATGTTCAATGACAATCTGTATTAGTTTTCTTGGTTTACACAGCCATTATTTTGTTTTTTCCAAACTCAGTAACAACATACAGGTTTTTCAAAACAGTTTTATTGATTTAATTTGTAACCTTGCTTCATCAATCTCAACTTCTTTTATGAGATACCCATATCATATTTTCCATGGTTCATTCTTTTAATTTATTTATACAATTTTATACTTCATAAATATTTTTCATACCAACACTTCCAAGTTTATACTAGGTTCAATACTTAATTTACAAAAGTGAAATGATGTTTCTTTACACTAAAATACTAGCTTGAGTCACATCAAGATTACACTCTTCTACGATATTTGTTGCACCGGTTTTTCTTTCTTCACTTACAGACACACCAGCAGATGAACACCAGTGGTTAGTGCTTACCTTATAAAGGTTTTGAAGCCACTGTTTTTTGTCATGTTCATCATTGGCTTGTAATGTATGAGACTGACCTAGGTTCTTGTCCATGAAAGTCAATTTAAATACATGTTTAGCTGTAGAAAGGAGGAAAAAATTGATTTAAACAAGGTAGATTTATAAAACTATATTAAAACAAAAGTTATCATCCCCTGAAATAAGACTTCGGCTATGCCATTATTTGTCTCTGTGAGCATACAGGTGAAGTTTTCATAAACTTTTGGTACACTGGGGATACATTTTAAATTTTCCAATTCTTCTTCTCAAATTATCAACCTATTTTTGGATATCATACTCAGGAGTACACTCATAAAATATATTTATTAACACTTGTTTTAAGTGAGATGGTTACTAGTGATAGGTATGGGAAATTCACAACGATTTATTACATATTTTATTTAAAAAAAGTTTTCCTATCGACAATTCGATTTAATAAAAAACAACGTAATCTCACACAAAAAAATGCACATATCAATTTGTTAAATGAATAAGCTTACCTCCACTGGTGTAAGAAAATGCAGATTTAAATGAACCTCCAATTCTAACCTCTCCATCTTTAACATTTTCTATAAGTAATTGGTGAGCTGGAATGGGTTCACGGTAGACCTGGTACCTAGTACTATTTTTTGTCTCAGAGGTAAAATTACTGTTGCTACTCCATCTAGTGGCAGGTCGAGTTAACACTATACCAGTGTCAAAAAGAAAGGCATGGAGCTTCTGAAATATTGTATAATATAATTTTAATGACAGCATAAATGTGAAAAACTTCAAAAACATTTTTAGACACCACTGAAAAATAGAGTGCAACCCATCACCATCTTTTTTCACCAAAGGTTCAGGCTAACAGTTGAAAAATTATCAACACTGATTCCTAGAACATTCTTGGGGAAGTTCTCATTTCCTTATACAGCTTTGGCTACTTTAATATTAAAAAGCAAATTAAAGACATTTTAGTACATTAGTCATAAAAAACAAGAACCACACGTTTTAATGAATTATGAAACAGAAAAAGAATAAAGTTTTAAGAAAAAATAACCAAAACAGAAAACAAACTGTTCTAAAAACATTTTGGAGCATTCTTGTTTGTTTGTTTGTTTTTTGAATTTCGCACAAAGCTACACGACGGTTATCTGCACTAGCTGTCCCTAATTTACTAGTGTAAGACTAGAGAGAAGGCAGCTAGTCATCACCACCCACTGCCAACTCTTGGGCTACTCTTTTACCAACGAATAGTGGGGTTGACCATCACATTATAACGTCCCCACAACTAAAAGGTCGAGCATGTTTGGTGGGATGGGGATTCGAACCCACGACCCGCAGATTGCAAGTCGAGTGCCCTAACCACCTGGTCATGCTAGGCCTGGGAGCATTCTTAACAAATACAAACTATTAAATAAAAGAGATAGTAAATACTGCAAAACAAAAACTAAAGGAACTATTAAAAGTAGAAAGAAAAGGCCAGTTTGTATTTCTAAGTATACTTTACTTGACACACCAGTATTCTGGTTTAAAATTTTTATATTGTCTTAACTCGCCAAAAAGTTTCTTTTTCACTTTTCATTATTTAGTTTTATGAAACAACCTATAACACTGTACATTTTCATTCTACTAGAAGCTTCAAAAATAATATTATTTAAGCAGACAATTAGATTTTAGTAATGATCCCTGTTGTATAAAACATACTTGAAGAGCCCTCAGTGTTACAGTACTAGATTATTTCATTATGAATGATTAATCTTATGATCACTTTCTTTCCTTCTATTAAGTAGTACAATATACTACACAGAGACAACCACATCTTATTCTTAAACTAGTAATTCAGGTACTTTTAAAACAGTTAACAAATTAAAATTATTATTTGAAATAAGGATAAGAATAGATACATTATTATTTTATGACTAATGTTTAAGAGATTCATACACGCCTCTTCAATAATCTTCTACCTTGAGTAAACTGTAAAAATACTAGCTATGTAACTTCTGTCACTTAATGCAGTTTTTATATAGAGAAAACCACCAATATTTGTATTTTTCTTTGGCCTACTATATTCACAGAAAATATTAACTATTCCATTAGTATTTCTTAAACTTCTAGAAAGCAATGACTTAAAAACATATCTACAGGGCACAAATAACATCTCTGTCATTTTTAAAACCCCAAACACAAGGATTAAACACATACATAATTGTATTAAGCTAAAACTAACCGTTCCTCTGCTGTTTCTTAAAACTCCAGAACACAGAAGACTCTTAGCCTGATGAATCAGTGGATCTCTCTGAAATAAAATTAAGGTTTTTCTCTTTAATTTTAATAACATTATTACCGTTTTTTTTAGGAAATTGGTTATATGCTCTCTAAGTTTTTATCTTCTGTGATTACACACTACTGTTTTTAAGTTATATAAACTTGTGAATATAACAGTTGAGAGAATGACATTATAAAGAATTTAAACTTTTTTGGGAGCACCAGTGAGCATCTTTCTGGTAGTGCAAAGAGCACACTTGCATGTCAAATAATTTATGTAAAATATTTATTTTTATTTGACTTCAAAAATTTTGCATCACAAATATTCCTTAACTGATATTTTGTCATTTTCTAACATTTATTTAGGGTAATTTAATAAGAAAAACAACATTTTTTGTGTTTTTTTTCTACTCCATTTCAAAGTATATTTTTTTCTTAAGAAACTTAAATCCCTTGAGAACACAATATCTTGTTTCTTTCATGATTTTCCTTCACTGTTGATGAGGTCATATAAAGGTGGAAACAATTGTTAATGATGAAAAGCTTTGAAAATAGCTAAATGCAAAGTTTAAATAGCATTGAACAGAGTAGATTATAAACTATTTACAACAATGTAAAGTAACTTAAGTAGTGTGAGTTATAATTTCGTAAGAAAGTGATTAGATGTAGTAGCTTCAGTAGAGAAGAACAATGGTATTTAGTAGGAAATTTAAAATTCTTAAGAATAAACCATAGATCTGAAAATTATTAATAGTTGCTCTAGACATTCCTTTCACTCCTGAAAATGTTCTTGTGTTAAAATATCAATTTTTGAAAATTAAGGCAATTTTCTTGTACATCGAGACATCAGGTAACCTATATTAGATATAGTGTAGTAATAATGTTTTGCATATTGCAGTGACTCGACCCCTAATTATTGAATGTTATTGTTACATTTATCATAACTTATTGAAATCAAAGTATATTTATTAAATGTAAATTCCTTTTGACCAGGAATATTATTAGCAAAAAGAGTTACCTAGACTGACCTGATACCATTTTTGAAAGATCAGGTCTTAGGTTATTCATAAATCTATGTCATTTCATGTAGTTTAGATTTTTTGTAACTATAAGTGGTGACTAGTGCAGTTAGCAAAATAAAGTTTCAAAAGAAATATGTTAATGAAAATCAATCAAATTTAAATTGGCCAGATATAAACAATGCATCTATCTGATCAACAGTAACAAAAAAATTTTTAATGCAAAGATAATGTATTTTTAATGTTTTTTTCACAAAGTTTCTCACAGCAAAATGTTTTAAATTTCATGACTTACAGAATAATAGAAAAACTAAATCAAATTATCATCTAAACTGAAGCTAGATACTATTTTGTAAGTTTGTTCCAAGTTTCCTGCTAGTTAATTAATTTAAGTATTTCCACTATGAAAAGGAAAAAAAATCAAGGGATATCAATGACAATTCTACTATCAATATTAACAATGGCAGAGCTACAATTTTACTTGTATGGGTTATATCTTGTAATACACACTAGTACTATACTGGGTCAGCCTATATGCTATGTAATCACAACAAAAACACCCTTAATCAAAATATTGTACTTAAAAAAATCTACAAGATTACTTTACCCATTTCTGAGGTTTTGATATATATGTTTTAGTTTTGCTAATTCAAGGATAAAAGCAGCCCACATTCATTTGACCACCGCAAAACAAAGGGTTTGTGTAATGTGCAGAGCAAATTTAGTGACTCACTGGGGGGTGAAATGAAAAAGAAAAGACATTGTTTTATTTACTGAAGAATGTCTAAAAATGACAGCTGATGATCTAAAGGTGAGACTATTCATTCCAAATAAAGACGTAGATAAATAAAAAAAGAAGAAAATAATAGAACATTATCCTGTCAAAACTTGAAAATTTGAAAGTCAAAAAATTAAGTGTTACAAAGACTGGACTTCTACAATAAGCCCTGGTTTTCACAGACAGTATTAATTGAACTTCTAAAATTTACAAGCAAATCAGATATGAGATGGCCAAAAGTACATCTTCAATACATATTATTTCTCTAGATGACAAATCAGAAAAAGGAATGGAGCAGAGATACTACTTCCTCATTTCAGTGGTTGCAAAGTCAAGCAGGCTGCAATGCAACTATCCCTTCCAACACCATACAAGTACCTTGACTAGTCAGGCTACAAAAGATAATAACACATACTGAATTTTGCAAAGGATTGCATCTGGAGTTAGTGTGTTTCAAAACTGGAAATAAGAAAAAGTTAAGAATTTTGTATATAAGAAATACAAACTATGTGATATATGTAGTATTTGCACACTAAAACATTTTACTCTGATCTTTGGTGCAAATGCCCACATGCTGTTTCCAAAGCTCTGGACTTTTGATCTGGCATCCTTAAAAATCAAGATAATATAGCAAGAAACCATCATGGTTTGCCAGCAACCTCATGGTGAAAACTTCTTCCAATGATTAGAGATGAATTACCTCTCTTCTGTTACAGACACAACCAATAACACCTCCCACCTATTAAAAAAGCATACGTTTCCAAGGGCTTCTTAACATATTCATTGAAAAACTTTGCTTCACAGAATTTTCATATCATTTTGTTTAAAAAAAACAGTTTTTTATTCAGAATTACCATGATTCACATGATGATTTTATTTAAATTTTCACACGTTCAAAACATGCTTAATGATATTTTCTAAATTAATGCCTACCTGGCTTTCTTCCAAAAAATCCAGCTTGTTTACAATAAACTCACAGTTTGCCTTTCCTGTTTTTCTGTCAACCAGCTGGATAATGCTATCAACTTTTTTTATCTGTTTGAGTGATAGAAAAAGTAATGGTTGTAAAGAAGAAAATAGCAAAAAAAAACTTTTTATCATTACACTTATAATTCAGTTGGTCGAAATGTTTTCAATACACATAAAGTTGTTTTTGGTTTATCACACATTTTTAATGTAATTTATGTAAATTAAGGTACATCTAAACCACCCCTGAAGTAAAGTAATTAATGAGTAAGTTTGAAAAAACGAGTTTTAATGCAATAAACATTTAATATAATTAATAAGTGGTAGGTTTTTTTATAAAAGATTTAGTATAATTTGATTAACAGCAACACATTCGACTACTAATTTGCAGCATGTGTATAATAATAATACACAATCTAGCAGACATATGTGTATATTCTACTAGTAATTATTGGACAAATCAAATTTTTGTAATTAGTTTAGTGTTGTATCACAGTATTAAGCTAAACTTATTGTTGCTTTTTAAACTGCGGGATTTTTGAAGTTAAAATTAATACTATTTAATTAAGTTTTTTAAATTTTATTTTTCATAATTTGTACGTTTTAGTAGCATTTGATTCCAAGGAAAACCATCATTGTAGGAAATTAGTATTTCATTGCACATTATGAAATGATTCTAAATAATTCAATATTTTTGTGAGAATTTTGTTGTAAAGATGAGATATATTTTATTTTGCAAACAATTAATAAAAGTTCTCAGATACTGATCTGTTGGATAATCCAGTCTCTTGTGATGCAACCTAGTGAACAATTTAAAGTTGTTTTAGGTACCCAAACACATTTTTACAAGTAACATCAGAGTTGAGTATGTTATTTCAAAAGGAAATTTGAACCTCACCATGTCATTACAGTGCATGTTTCTATGTACAGCCATTGCTTTATCTGATGACCATGCATATTTACAACAGCCCTGTAGCGTAGTTTCCATTACAAAAGGGTTCCATGTAAGGTTGTCATGTCTAAAGCACATTCCTCCTCCTGCATAATCCATCTAGTGAAGAAGTACGACTTCCCAGTGCACGATTCAACAGGCCAATCAAAAAGAAATCCACTGCATCCAGTGACTTGACTGGTATGTATTTATATGAAATAGCATGAACACCTATTCCATTCTCCATTTTTCAGGAAGGAGATCTTTCTTCATTATGTTGTGTAATGTTGCCTGGGGCAAATGGGTGGCTTTTGCCACTAATCTATGTTTGTAGATTCTCACTCATTACAAGATGTCTCACTTTTTTTACAATAGCTAAGGCATGACTTGTTGCAGGTCTTTTTCTGGATAGTCCTAGTTCCCCAAGTTTCTTTAAACTGCAATGCTTTTAAGTGCAAAAGATATCCCCATTGTAGAAATTCTAAATCCTTGATCTGAACACACCCATATGATCTGAATACGCAAATATTTTGTATCAGAAAGAGGTGTTACATTTCCTTTTTCAGAGTGATCAGTTTTTGGAGGCATCACACTACCTATGTAATGCCAAACAATATGAAAATGTAGTTCTGATTCACTCCATTCCACCTTGACTTTATATTGGCTGTGGTTGTCATGACTTGTGGTTTGCATATTCAAAAACCATTTTAATATAACCTATGTTATATTAAAATGTCATATTAAACCAAGTCATATAATAGTTTACACAAAAACAATATTATTTCTCTCAGAATTCAGGCTATTGCTGAGCAGTTAATTCATTTGACAGTATAGATCACTTAGCATTAATTACATTGATTAGTGCCACATAAAGTAATCAATTAACCAAAATTACAAATTAATCAATGTTACAAAATATTCAATTAATGAAACAAGTTTATGCACTATTTTCGATTATTCAAATTATCCAAAGTATTTGAAATACTGCCATTATGATTCCTCATTATTATTATTTGATTAATTCAACAATGTTCAGCTTCAGGCTGGGATGACCCAGTGATTAGAATATTTGCCAATCGAAGGTTGCAGATTTGATTTCCATTTCCACCAACTATGTTTGACATTTTAGACTTGTGGGCAGTAGCATACAATTTGTTTGATTTATAATATAAAATTTTGTGAAAGGTCATTCCATTTTTCTCACTAAATCACAATCCAGGAAAACATATACTATTACTGTGAATTTACAAATTCCAATACAAGTCTAAGCTGAGTGATCCAAACCTTGCATACTGGTCAAGTTATAATCAATTAGCTAGTTAAGGGGTGAGCACTTGGCCGGATTGACAAGATTAAATAAGATGCTTAGATAAGATAACCATGACAATGTTTGATGTTCAGCAAGTTAAATTAGTTCAAATGACCTAGGTTATATGAAGATTTAAAATCAATTACTCAAATTCATGAGCAACTCACGTGCAAACCCCGTTGAGAAATATTTTTAGTTTTTATTTTAAATTATTTTTTTCTTATTTAACCTAACGAGTTTTTAATTTTAGTTACTTATATAACAATAAATAAAAAATAGAAATTGAACACTATATTTGGCCTGTTCTTTTGCTGTACTATAAATGTGTAGTTTACATTAAACTCAGGGTGTCACATTAGAAAACAGAAAATGCATAACTTGTAGTGAGCATGAAATTTTAGAATTTAATACTCCCTGTTAAAATTAAGGATTTGCTTGCTTGTTTATTGTTGCGCAAAGCTACACAATACGTTATCTGAACTTTGATCAATATGCAGAACCAAACCATGGATTTTATTGTTGTAACTCTGTAAACTGAAATTAAAGAATTAAAATTTGATTATAAACTAATGTTTGATACCAATTTTCTTGAGATGCAATAAATAGTCTAATTCAATTTTTAATATAACTCTGTAAAACTGTACTTTTACCTACCCACAAATTCATCATCAGAGTTTCCATAAAATAACTTTTAATACGGTACACGCTTCTTCACAAAATTTGGTAGACTTTCAGTAAATATTACAAGTCTTATGTACACAAAAAATCCTGATTTTTTTAATTAAATATTTTTTATTAATGATCTGTTCATGAATATATGTTGACTACTTTGAGGGCAAGGTGATTTTCATGTTAAGATTAAACATAATTTTATTAATCTGAAAATTTTCAAGTTTCATTTGCAAAACCTCTAAAACTTTCTATATAAATATCAAATATTTTTTCAATGAAACTTTATATTTTATCTGTTATTTTCTCTATACATCAATTTGGCCAACCTTGTAACTACCCTTTTTTTCTTTCTAGAATGACGGCAGAAAACTACAACTGTTTATCCAAAATAGCTTAAAGCTCAAAACAGTCTACACAAGTTTCTTCTTAATTTTATTGTTTTATCGCCATTTGGACCTTATCTAACTAATAATCTTGCCATACCCATTACAAATTTGAAATTGTAAATCACTTGGCAAACACATAGCTCACGTGCTTACCTTGTTAATTATTTTATCATTATCTTACCTAATCTAACCTAATAGGTTTCTAGTTTTTATGCCAAATTTGTATACCTAATATATTAATTTCATTTCGTTATAACTGACACAGTGTATGTTATAATTATAGGTTGTTTTAAACGTTTTAATCAAACAAGATATTTTCAATAAACTGTTTGCTCAAATTTGCTTTAAAGGTCTTGGTAATTATAAATGATGTAAAAATTATATATAATCATATATTTTATGCATACAAAATTCAGCTGTATATGGGATTATATTTGTAAAAGTTGACTGAAATGACTCATCTTTGCCGGAATATTCCTATTCTCTAAAAAAATCGTTCAGAAATAAGTTCACTTTTTCTTGTACTACAATACAACTAAAAACATAGATATGCCACTGTGTGTGGGCATTTATTTGTTTCTTTGATTTTGAGATATGGCAAATCCGTTAAGGTTAACTGCCGCGCTGTACTGAATTTTGAGCTGCCAAACACAGGGAAGGTAAGTGGTCAACAACATCCACTGCCAATTCTTAGACTACTCTTTTGCTAACGAATAATGGGATTGACCATGATACAGCAAGACAGTCATTACTACTTCCTTTGGTGCAACTGCAAGCAAATGGTATGCGTGTTTTTTGCACAGAACTCAGAAATCTGAGGATGTTGCCTAAAAGTCATTGGTTACATAACTATCTACAGTGGTTCCGTCGTTCATGTTTATTTTGTTCGGACTGACTATATAATAGTGTAGCTTCAACTTAATATATTGCTCGCATATTGCAAGATAGAAACACAATTAGTGTTACTTTAGTTAGATTGCTTCAATAAAGTTACGATGAATTAGCATTCATTATACTTTTGATTAATGAATAACTTGCTGATTTAACTGTGTTTGTCAGAAATTACCAAACACGAACTCATAACAGTATATCAATATATAAAGAATTAAGCACTGAAAAGGGAAAAACAAGTCTGGTTGTCATCACATGCCTCTTAAATACTGCCTATTACAGATTTAAGTTAATTGATTTAATGATTTATCAGCATGCTCACGTGTTTTGACAGTTCTTTCAGCCTGTACCAAAACATTTATATCTATTAATCATTTTAATGTGTTCTTTCTTAACATCCACCTGTATTAATAGCTTCTCACTTAAAATATGTTCTTTATACTTAAAAAGTGGCTAATTATTATTTTATTTTACAAGCTGGCTATGGAAATGCCTGTAATTAAAAAAAAAATTTTTTTACATTACTTTTATTTTAATATTTCTTATGACACTTTGAGTTCAACCTTATAAATAATTTAATTTCTTCAAAGATGTCATCTAGTATTATCAAAAGTCTTATTACAAAATATTAAATGTACTGTTTTGAGGTTTTAAGTGGATTTGCTTTCACTGAATTGTATGTTATTGATCACACACACTGTGACAAAAATCTTTACTAGTTTTATCATATGAAATATAAGGACAATCCTTTTTATGAAGAATTAATTCATTCAGTTTTAGTAGTATTGTGAAAATCAGTAGTTAGAAATCCAAAACATCGTATTAACAGTATTTTTAGCTTGTTACAGGTTTCTTACTACATTGAGCATATGACACATTT